CCTTGTAATCACAATGAATGAATGAACGAATGAAAATATTTTCTTTTGTACTCGAATTACGTTGCGCATGAATTCTCTTTGTGAGATAGGTAGGCAGCCTTCCCAGGTCTGGCCCCTATCATTAAAAATTTTCATTCTCCCATTCTTGTTACAAGAAGATACGAAGACCAGATCATAAGACATCAAAAAGCAGCCACAAGAAAACCGTAGCTTAACATGATCTATCCTTTCCGAGACACCGACTAAAACAAGAAAACTCCTGCTTGTTAAAAAATGTGTTTCCTTCATCACTCGTGGGTTGAAGATATCCTAAAAAAAAGCAACTTGTCTGTTTATCTGCTCTATGTGTCATATTATGCGTTTTGTACTCTGAATCTGCACTGACAAATTTGCCTTTGAGTTGTTTTCCTTCTCAGGTACTTTGAAACTGACATGTGTCTATCAAAAGCTGGCAGATCATCCCTATTTCACCAGATCAAAAGGTCCCGCAGATTTCTTCCCTAGACAAAGCTCATACAAAGGAAAGACGGTTATGGGGGATAATAACAAAGAATTAAGCCTTACTGATGTTGTGGTGGATCAACCCACCGTAGCAGATCAGACTGAGTTGATTCTGCAGCTGATGCAGCAGATTGCAGAGGTGAGGGTGGAAATGCAAAAGAGACAAGATCTGCCTCGATTGGGTTTTTCCACTAACGCTTCTAATGGAAGAGCTCCAATCTACTTCTCTTCCTCAAATATGGATCCAACTCAGAACTAGCCATCTACACCTGTTCAGAATCCGTCGGTTGTAGATCGGACTACCCAAAATCCCTAATATGTTTCTGCATCCTACCAAACTCCACCTCTTCTTCAAAACAACCACCCCCAAATGCCTATCATCAAACCGCTCCACCACCACAAAATCAAAACCAAAACCAAAATAATTTCAATCCCCAAACACCCCACCCCACCACCACTTAAATTCGAATACCAATCCTCAGACTTACCCACAGAACTATCAAATCGGTCAAAATGCTCAAAGTCCCTCTGTAGCTCCACCTTTACCAAAAAGAACCACTTTCCGAATTCCCGTCCCTGCCGAGCACGATGTTCACGTTTCTGAACTGGACCATCACGGTGAACTAGAAAAAATTTGTGCAGGGCAAAGGAAGAGTTAAAGGTTGACATAAAGGAAGATATCAAGAAACCCATGAAAGAGCTTCAGTGCGTTCCTGATATCGCCGGGCTTAATTACGAAGACTTATATATTCTTCCAAATTTGGACATGCCAGCAGGGTTCATGATCCCGAAGTTTGACACCTTCGGAGGAGTGGTCAACCCTATGGCTCATTTGATATCCTACTGCGACCATCTTGTTGGAGTTGGAAGGGATGAAGCTTTATTGATGCGGATCTTCAGCCGAAGCCTATACAGAGAAACTCTTGAATGGTTCACATCGTATGAAACCAGGCAATGGATCAGCTGGAATGCATTGGCCAAAGATTTTATCGATTGGTTTTCTTACAACATAGAAATTGTTCCAGACCGATACTCTTTGGAGAAGATGAAGCAAAAATCAACCGAGAGCTATAGGGAGTTCGCCTATAGGTGGAGAAAAGAAGCAGCAAGGGTGATACCACCCATGTCTGAGAAAGAAATCGTTGAAGTATTCATGCGCGTGCAAGAACCGGAATATTATGATAAAATTATATTGCTCGTTATAGAAAAATTTGCTGAGATAGTCAAGATTGGTGAGACTATCGAAGACGTTTTAAAATTAGGAAAGATAGCCCATGTAACTGCATCGCCTGGATCTTCAGGGTTGTTGAAAAAGAAAAGAGAGGAAAACGTTGTTATTTCATATGGGGGAAGAAAAACCCTTAGAAGCTCATCATATTTCCAAGGTCGTTCCCGGCCTTCCCCAAGGTCCTACCAATCTTGCTACATGAAATCTAGTCATCCCAATAACCTGAATGCTTCTCCGGTTTATCCGAATGTCCAAGCTCGACCATACCAAAGTCCACCCCAAAATTACCAAAGTTCATCTCTCATTTACCCAAATCATCCTCCATCCTACCAAATTCCTTCTCATTATTATCAAGGTGTTGCTCCCAACTGCGCTAACGTGCAGTTGAGATACCGAGCACCCCCTCCTGTTTATCAAGTCCAAGCTCCACTATACCGAAATTCATCTCTGAATTACCAAGCTCCATTGCCAAACTACTAAACAAATCCATATCCTAGAAGCAAAGCTCCCCGTCCAAATACGAGAAGTTATCAACAGGTGGATCCTCCTCAACAAGGCATTTATGAACCTCTCCGACCCATATTCGAGAAGAAGCCTTCAAGGAATTTCACTTCGCTTACTGAGATCCAAACAAAAGTGTACGAGAAACTGGCTGCAGTCGGATACATCCACCCTGTAGGGCCCAAACCCGTGGATGTCAACTCAAAATTCTATAGACCCGATCATAGATGTGCTTATCATTCCAACAATTTTGGGCATGATACTGAAAATTGTATCAACCTCAACCATAAAATTCAGGATTTGATTGATCAAGAGGTAGTCTCTCTCCAATCAGCGGCACCAAATGTCAACACCAACCCGTTGCCGAATTATGGAGGCAGCAATGTCAATATAATCGAGACAGACGAAGACAGGTGTGGAACGAAGATGATTACTCCCATCATTCACAATGATTTGGAAAAGGTTGATGCTTCTTTAAGCGTAAAAAAGAAGAGAGTGTTCATTATTTTGACACATGCAAAGGTTGTTGCTTTGGTGCCGTCAGAAACTCTTGTCAAGCCTAAGTTTGTTATTTAAACTACTACTGCTCAAGGCATGACCAGGTCTGGAAGATATTACACTCCTAACGAACTTGCTCTTAGAGGACAGAAGAAGGATCAGACTAAAATTTCGATAAGCGAATGAGAAGCGGAGGAATTCTGGAGAAGAATTCGGACAAAAGATTATTCTATTGTCAGGCATTTGGAGATGAATCCAGCTCATATCTCCATATGGGCCCTGCTAATGATCTCTCTATCCCCCAGGCAGACCTTAATGAAAGCTCTCGATGATACGTATGAACCTGCGGGCACAAGCTGCGATAACGTGGCCACCATGATTCACCAAGTTATTCGAGGGCACCGAATCAACTTTTGTGACGATGAGCTTCCTGTTGAAGGGAGGTAACACAACAAGGAGTTGCACGTCACTGTGGTATGCCACGAAAAGGCTGTCAACCGCGTCTTAGTAGATGATGGATCTGGTTTGAATATCTGCCCGTTGTTGACATTGAGGCAACTAAGGTTTAACCTTGGGAAACTGAAGAAAAACCAAGTCAACATGATATTCTTTGATAGGGTTCAGAGAGACACGCTGGGAGCGGTGAATTTGACCATTCAAATGAGCCCATCAAAATTAAGCGTGCAATTTCAAGTATTTGATATAGATACAAGTTACAACCTTCTTCTGGGAAGACTGTTCATCTATATGGCTAGAGCCGTCCCCTCTACTCTCCATCAGATGATGAAGCTCGTGTGGAAGAACGAAGAGCTGGTTATTCATGGCGAGGGGAATCACTCTTGAAGACAGGTGCTGATCATCAATGAGATATTGCGAGGTGCAGATTTTTACACGGTGGAGCTGGTGAATGCCACCGGTAATGACTTGGCCCCACAGACCCCCATGCATGTCGTGGACAAGATGATAGCCACTGTGATGCTACAAAATGGTTTTGAGCCAGGGTTCGGATTAGTAAGAGATTCCCAAAGACTTATTGAGCCTGTTTCGATCCTCGTTAAGGGATCCAGATATGGTTTGGGGTACATCCCCAAAGATGATGACATGAAGATGAAGAAGAAAAATGATCAAACATTGCCTAAGACGATCCCACATCTGTATCAATCCTTTCCAATCCGGTAGTATGCCGAGCATAAAGACCTTGGGGAAGAAATTTGTGACCTCTTCGAGGAGATCGATGCTGTTGTTGAGGAGGAGGTCGAGCTAGATGGTATCCGCGATGCTGAACCAGGGGAGGTGCTGCAGAACTTGACCTCCACCCCCATCCTGATACCCCAAACTCTTCGGTAGAAAGGCACCATTTCATGCACTTTAAAATCGATGGTAGTTCGGCAGAGGCCCAAAACCCACAATTTTACATTTCTTAACTGTTTGTATTTTTGAATTTTCATCATGATGTTCAAAGAAGGCAACATGGCCCTATGCCATAGACAATGTTTGAATTGTTTTCCAATTTGAATTAGAGCCTCTTCTATTTTCAAACTTTATTTATTTATTCATTTGTTGTACTTCACTTTCCTAACTTTGTCTGTTTATGATTTATGAAACATAAGTTTTATACCTGGCAATGTCATGTCGTGTTACGAGCTGAATGAACAAAATGAGGCAGGTGATGACGAGGTTGACGATTACGAAGTAGAAACTGAGGAAAGATTATGTCACCGAGGAATTTTGGGGGATCCAGAATATGTTAAAGAAGTTATGATCAGCATCCACCTAAATGAAGCTCAGAGAGAAGGCATAATTCAGTTGCTTGCTGAATATATTGATGTGTTTGTTTGCGAAGTCGATGACATGCAAAGGTTAAGTACCGATGTCGTATCTCATAAACGGCCGATTAACCTGGGGTTCGATCCGGTGAAGCAAGACACTCGAAAATTCAAGCCTAAACTGAGTTTAAAGATTAAGAAAGAGATCGCCAAATAGATAGAGTCTCAATTGGTGGAAGTGACACAATATCCAACTTGGCTGGCCAAGTTGTTTCGGTCACCTTAAAAGATGGGAATATCAAGATTTTTGTCGACTACAGAGACCTCAACAAAGCTAGCCCGAAGGATAATTTTTCGCTGCCGAATATTCACAATTTGATTGACAACTGTGCTAAGCATGAAATGCAGTCATTTGTTGATTGTTACGTGGGCTATCACCGAAGGATGGTGAAGATGGAAAAAAGACAACATTCATTGCACCTTGGGGTGTATATCATTATAGGGTGATGCCGTTGGGCCTCAAGAATGGTGGTGCTACCTACATGAGAGCTATGACGACCATTTTTCACGACATGATTCATAAGGAGATTGAAGTGTATGTGGAGGACTTCATAATTTACTCCCGCGAGAGTTCGGACCACTTGACACATCTAAGGAAATTCTTTGATCATTTGCGTGGCTACGACTTGAAGTTAAATCCCGCCAAATGCGCTTTTGGAGTTCCAGCCGGAAAGTTATTGGGATTTATAGTCAGTAAAAGGGGTATTGAGCTCCACCCTTCTAAGATTAAAGCAATTCAAGAGATACCTCCACCGAACACGATAAAAGAGGTGATGAGTTTCATAGGGAGGTTAAACTACATCAGTCAATTCATAGCTCAATCAACCATGGTGTGTGAGCCTATTTTGTAGTTGTTGAAGAAAGATGCCCCAATAAAGTGGACTGAAGAGTGTCAGACTGCTTTTGATGCTATCAAGAACAATTTTTCTAATCCACCGGTATTGGTTCCTCCGCGAGAAGGGAGTCCTTTGTTGCTATACTTATCTGTCTCAGATAGCGTATTCGGATGCGTACTTGGTCAACACGACGAGACAGGAAAGAAGGAAAGGGCTATCTATTATATAAGCAAGAAGTTTACTCCATACGAGTCTCGTTGCACTTTGTTGGAGAAAATGTGTTGTGCTTTGACATGGCTAACCTAGAAGCTGAGACATTATTTGTTCTTATACTACATACCTAATTTCCAGATGGATCAACCGAAGTATATCTTCAAGAAGGCGATGCCGACCCAAAAGTTAGCTAAGTGGGAAATGTTGTTGAGTGAATTTGACATTGTGTATGTGACTCAGAAAGCGATAATGGCACAGGATTTGGCTGATCGTCTTGTAGAAAATCCCGTTAATGAAGAGTATGAACCACTTAATACTTATTTTCACGATGAAGGAGTGTCATTTGTGGGTGAGGATATTTCTGAAGCATATCCAGGTTGGAGATTATTCTTTGATGGAGCGGAAAATCATCAAGGTAAAGGTATTGGAGCAGTCTTAGTGTCAGAATCCGGTCAGCACTATCCTATGGCGGCTAAGCTCCGATTTAATTGCACGAACAACATGGCCGAATACGAATGTGCATTCTTGGTTTGAAAATGGACATCGACATGAATATCTACGAGTTGTTTGTTATTGGAGATTCATACCTTTTGATTCATCCAGTTCAAGGAGAATGGACTGTGAAGAACCCAAAGATTATACCTTACGTACAATATGTGCAGAAGTTGTGCAAGAGGTTTCGCAAGATAGAGTTTAGATATACTCCCAGAATATAGAACGAATTGGCCAATGCTCTTGACACCATCACTTTGATGATTAAACATCTGGATATAGATTATATTGATCTCTGGATATAGAGTTGAAAGAACATCCAGTCCATTGTTTCCATGTCAAAGAAGAACCAGACGGTTTGCCTTGGTATTTGATATAAAGAAGTATTTGGAGTCTTGAACTTATCCTGAAGATTCTACGTCCAACCAAAAAAAGTGGATACGGCGCATCGCACTCAATTTCGGAGAAATCCTGTACAGGAGGACTCCAAACTTAGTCTTCTAAGATGCGTGGATGCACTTGAAGCTGTGAAGCTTATTGAACAGATACATGCTGGAGTTTGTGCCACGCATATGAATGGGCTCACTTTGGCAAGAAAGATTGTTCGAGCCGGATATTTCTTGATGACTATGGAGAATGATTGTTGCAAGTTTGTGCAAAAATGCCACAAATGTCAAATCACGGTGATTTGATCCGAGTGGCACCTCGCGAACTTAATTCTATGAGTTTACCTTGTTCATTCGTAGCTTAGGGTATGGATGTCATCGGTCCAATAGAGCCAACCGCTTCTAATAGACACAGATTCATTTTTGTTGCCATTGATTATTTCACCAAGTGGGTGGAAGTAGATTCTTACAAGTCGGTAAACAAGAAAGTTGTAGCTTTGTTAGAAACAATTTGATGTGCAGGTTCAGAATACAAGAGTCGATCATTACTGATAATGGTACAAATCTTAACAGTCACTTTATGAGAGATATATATGAGCAATTCAAGATTACTCACAAGAATTCAACCGCTTATTGTACCCAAATTAATGGAGTTGTGGAGGCCGCCAATAAGAATATCACGAAGATTCTGAGGAAGATGATTGACAATCACCGAGGTTGACATGAGATGATGCCATATGCTTTATTAGGTTATCAAACGACTGTCAGAACATCGACCAGAGCTACTTCGTCTAGTAAATATATGGAACAGAAGCAGTCATACCTGCTGAAGTCGAAATACCATCTTTGAGAATCATCCAAGAAGTTGAGCTAAGTAATTCTGAATGGGTCAGTAAGAGGATTGATCAACTAACTTTGATTGATGAGAAGAGAATGGTTGTCATCTGTCATGGTCAGTTGTATAGACAGAGAATGATTCGTGCCTTTCACAAGAGAGTGAAAGCTAGAATTTTCGAAGTTGGTCAGTTGGTTCTTAAGCGCATTTTTCCTCATCAAGATGAGTACAAAGGAAAGTTCGCATCAATCTGGCAAGGTCCTTACATGGTTCGTAAAGTATTATCTAGAGGTGCTTTGGTCCTGTCGGAGATGGATGGCACCGCATAGTCGAAACCTATCAATTCAGACGTTTTCAAGAGATACTACGTGGGAAGCTTCGGTTTGCTTTTATGTTATTTACTTGTAATCATTCTGTTTGCTTGTATTTCTTTTGCTTAATTTTTATCCTTCTGTGTAATGAACTACGTCTGACCTGAATTCTCAAGAACGAGATACATAGGTGCCTATGTCGACCTCGGTCACCCCAGTTTATCCTTTTTAATATTCATTTGTGTTTGAACTACGTTCGATTTGAATTGTCAAGAATGAGATATGTAGGCGGCCTATGTCGGCCTCGGTTAGTTTCTTTGTAATTTCCCTTACTTTGTCAACCTTTGAGGGGGGAACTACGTTTGACCCGATTCCTACCTTAACGGGATACGTAGGAGCCACAAGGGTTCACTCATGTCTCCTGTTAGATTTCTATTCCTCTTTACAATAAAAATCGGGACAGAATTTTTGAGAGGGACTCAAAAATTCTCGATGAGAAGAATCTTCCTCAACAAGTCAAGACTGAAGATTTTTTTAGATTTGCAACTGGGATAGAATTTTTGAGAAGATCTCAAAAATTTTGCAATCTACTCAGTTATAGTGGAAAGATAAGCAAGACAATTAACTCGGACAGAAATTTTGCGGATGGCCTCAAAATTTTAGCATAGTTTTATCTTCAAGTCCGGAGTGACTCTGAAAACTCCCCAACGAATAATTAGAAATTCCTCTAAGCATCAGAATCAAAGAAGTTTGTTAAGGCTGATATGACATGACTTGGCAGTGACCTTTTTCAGATATTATTTCTCTTAAATTTTACCTTTTACGTTTCATTTGTTTTGGCATAAAATATTTTGTCTCATCCATCAAGAGTCGGGAGATAGAGAAATCAATTGGAGGACGCATGTTTATAGCTTTGCTCTGAAATCAGCAAATTCTTCCGATGGATGAATATGGAGAGGTCAAAGGAGAAGAAAATTATCCCAAATTAATAGTTTTCATAGAATTGAGTAAGCATTTTATTTTGCTTATGTCGTATACTTGGAAATATGAATTGTTTATTTCAATCAATGTCCAAGAACATAAAATCTATGAAGAACATCCAGCTAGATTCGAAGGTGAATCAAGCAAAAATCTCAAGGAAAAGTTTACAATTTTTGTAAAAGGACGCCATTTGCATCATAACGTCAGATATGATATTATGCATTACCCGGAGGGGTCAGTTATTTTATTATCGATCAAGACGATATGCTATCTGGAAGTCGTTTACCGTTATCATCATTGGAAATAATATGATTATCCGTAAGGTTCCTATGTTGCTCGATTGAAGCACTATCTTCATTTAGTACCAAGGATGACATCAAAAGTTAATATATGTGCATGACTGAAAGATATCCGTGCCTTGCGGAAGATCATGCATCTCGAGTCAATATTCATGCATCGCGGAAGATCATGCATTGCGAGTTAATATTCATGCATCACGTAATATCATGCATCGCGGAAGACCATGCATCGCGAGTCAAAATCAGGCATCACGAGTCAATGTTCACGCATCATGGAAGATTATGCATCGTGAGTTAATATCCAAGCATCGTGAGAAGATTTCATACCTTGCAGAAATTCATGCATCATGAGAAGATTTCATACCTCGCAGAAATTTATGCATCGCGAGAAGATTTCATACCTCGCAGAAATTTATGCATCGCGAGAAGATTTCATACCTCACAGAAATTCATGCATTATTAGAAGATTTCATACCTCCCAGAAATTTATGCATCACGAGAAGATATTATACCTCGCAGAAATTTATGTATCGCGAGAAGATTCTATGCCTCGTCAAAATTTATGCATCGCGAGAAGATATTCATGTCTCGCAGAAATTTCTGCATCGCGGGAAGATATTCGTACTCGCAAGAAATCACGCATCGCGGGATGATATTCAAGCCTCGCAAGAAATCATGCACTGCTAGAGGAGGAATCGTGCATCTCAAAGGAAATATTTACCCCTCAACATCAACTGCATCTTTATTTGGCAAGAGTGAATGCCAAGAGAATCATCGAAAGCAACGAAGAAAATATCGGCATTGCATCAGCTTTATTTATTTTGACATCAAATGAAGAGTGCATTGAAGATTATATTGCAAACACAATACATAAGCTTTATTTGCTTTATGTCAAACCAATTGAGTTGACGTCAAATATCAAGGAGAACGAGTAAGTGTCGACACGGTAAAAGACACTGTCTCCCATTTAAATTGCATTTTTATGCTGACAAGTTTTATCTCAGTCTTTGTGGAGAGCATCCGAAAGGATGAATTCACCAAATCATACCACAGGTGCGGACGACATCAAAAAGGATGCAGCACAACGAGGAACTTTTTCTTAGCAGCAGACTGGGAGACAGTTCAAAGAGGAATGTCAAACTCTTAGGACGTGAGCAGAGGAGCGACTTCCACCACAATCAAACCACACTCGTATCAGAAGGCATGTGGATTTTCTTTAGTTTTATCAGTTTTGATCTCGCATCCGAAAATCTTGATACTTACCGAAAGTAATTTTCCAATCTGAGTGATGATACACCAAGACTTTTGGAAATTATGTATGTGTACATTCTTACCTATGGATGTGAGGAGAACCACATTCATGGATAAGAGATTACAAGCCTCTTTTTCATACTCGACCTATTTGTCACTCATACAAAACCAAAGGTTATCTAGTATAATAGATTTCCTTTCTAAATCGATAGAGTTGAACTACAAGCAGCCTGATGGTATAAGGATATGTAGGCGAGCTCAATGTTGAGAACTCGGTTGTATTCCTACATTTGCTCTCGGATCTTATTCTCGAGCACTCTGATACCTTCATAATTCGGTATCGAGGTGGCTTTTGATATCTTTCAAACATCATTCGTTAAATCAAGTGTATCAAACTACAAGTGTCCTGAATTCTCATATAGTCTGAGATATGTAGGAAACCCATTTTTGGGGTTCGCCCATAATTCCTAAAGTCCTTACCGAGTCCTTTGTTCAAAAATGAATACGTGTTCGGTCGAAATTAGATTAGTCAAATTCATTTTTTTCAAATTTCTTGCATCAATCCGAGTAAAATGAGGGACAGAGTTGTTGACGCCCAATTTTTACCCTCCCCGTCAAATTAGTTCGCGAGTTTCTTAAATTTTGAACGAGTTAAAATATTTAGCTTTATAAAATTCAAAATGTTCTTCCAGTCATTTCAAAATAATTTTAGTACCTTTAATAATCTTAAAATAGTGTATGTCCTTCATATAATTAGCTTATCTTATAAATATTTGAAAATCATCGGAAAATATTTTTATTTTAATTAATTAAATACTTTATTAATTAGTTTAATTACTTAATTGTTTATATTCTGATTAAGCTAGTTAATTTATCTCGTTAAATTTGAGAAGCTCGTTAATTACCTAATATCGATTAAATTTTACGCATGTTTAGAACGAATGTGCTAATCAAATTCGATGTAGTTACGTTCTAAATCAAGTTACCAATTCATGATTTTTCTAACAAAAGTTTTGGGCCCTTGAAACACTTTCATCTATCCCTTTTCCAGCAAAATCCAAACCCCCAAACCCATTTCATTTTCTTCCTCTGAACAATTGACTCGGCCCAAAGTCCTTTGCAATTTTCAGATTTCACCCAACCCATTTTTTTTGAATTCCTAGCCCCAAAAGCCGACCCATTCTTTTTGACCCGGCCCACTCCCCTTTCCCCTACAACAGAGGAGGCGTTGTCATTGCCTGCGTGAGATTGCTCCATGTCTTGACCCAATGACAATCGATCAATCCTGACCGTCCCATCCCCTTCCCCTTTTGGAATGGGTTGAGAATACCAGAAAAGTCTGTTTCGCCAAAAGGATGAAAGGAATTTTGATGTTTGAATATGGAGTGGGCCTCTTTTCCATCCGTTTTTACCCTTTCTCCCTCCCAAATTCGCAACCCTAGTTGTTCCCTTATATATTCGTTGCTTTGTTTCCACTGCTAAATGGAAGATTTTTGGTAAAAACGATTTTGAAAGAAAATAAATTGAGGGGTTAGAAGAACTTTGAAGAAAAACACAGCAAAACACTACATTGAAAAATATACTAGAAACCGGTTTTCAAAGAAAAAAAAGTACTTTTGGGAGTCAGCATTGAAGACTTCCAAGAATTTTCTTTCGGAATTCAATCGGAGGTTGTTGGAATTCAAGTGCGATGGTGGAATCGCCCTTAGCTCAGCTATGTCTCAGTTCAGCGGTCCGAAAAAGGGTAATGTCTACTTGTGTTCATTTTTATATTTGGATTCCAAATACTATGTATTGCACATGTCTCTGTTCGGTTCCTTTGGTCACAATCATGCCTTCTTCTTTATGATATTTTTAGTTGAAACCGTGTTTTGTTTGAACATAGATTTGAGTACGTTCTTCTCATTTCAATCAGTTAATCTTCTTACACTTTGGAATTTGAAGCAAGCGGGTTGAATTCGTTTATCCTTCCTCTTTAGTTTTTGAATATATCTGTAGGTGTCGAATAAACATTTGTTTATGTTAAAGAATCTTGTTCAAGAGGTTAAAACATTTGATACTCTATTACCTGTTAATCTGAGATAGTGAGATTTGTCACTCGTGGGTTTCTTTGGAAGACGCATTCATATGTTTCATGAGGTGTGTTCGAGTAGTGTATCAATAAACCGTTCGTAGGAGAAGATAATCGTAGTTCGAATAATTTTACACTCGATCATGAATAGATTGAAACTCTAAAGGCGAATCTTCTTAGTTTTGCATAGTTTCGACCAGCCATGGGTCGGAAATGTCTCTGTGCTCGAGCTATATCCATTTTGGAGGATTTTTCCCCTTTGTTTACGTGTTAAGATCTTCATTTAGCGCGACTTTATTTTATTGATGGTTTCTTTGTTTTATTTTTTGTCTTGGCGTTAAGTAGTAGGCAAGAACAATCCATGGTATATATGTCTTCCCTAAAAAATGATGTTCCATAGATAAACCTGTGCAAAT